AGGGAAAGACTTGGAACGGAGGATCGAATCGAATTGAGAGGATATGCATCCAGTAAATGCGGTGTTGGCGGCGAGGATGATGACGACCGTCACCGGTCAATCAACCCGCCTAGGCGGAGATATAGCGTTCGGATCGTTGTGGTTCTTCATCTATGCAGGTATCTCCTGCTGTCTCGTCCTCTTCGCTGGTATCATGTCTGGCCTCACTCTCGGCCTCATGTCTCTTGGACTCGTCGAGCTCGAAATCCTCCAGCGTAGTGGAACTCCGACGGAGAAGAAACAAGCCGGTAGTTTTTTTTTTTTGACTTTCTTTCTAATTCTGGTTTCGATTTGATCCAACTTACTATTAAATTTGTTTATTCCTTTGTGATTAGCTGCAATTCTACCGGTGGTTCAGAAGCAGCATCAACTTTTGGTGACTTTGCTTTTGTGTAATGCGGTGGCAATGGAGGTAATTCATATATAAGATCTTTCTTTTTCTACACTTTGATCTTGATCATCAAAATGAATTTTTTTTTTTTTTTTATTGTAAATCTGTAGGCTCTTCCAATATACTTGGATAAGCTCTTTAATCAGTATGTGGCGATTATATTGTCAGTGACTTTTGTTCTTGCTTTTGGAGAGGTACTTACTTTACTCACTTCTATTCTGTGTTTTTATATTTTCAGTTTTCTGGATTCTATATTTGCCTAAATGAGTTTCTTTCTATTTTCAGGTTATTCCACAATCCGTATGTACTAGATATGGACTGGCTGTAGGTGCAAATTTTGTGTGGCTTGTGAGGATTCTAATGATTATTTGCTATCCAATTGCTTATCCCATCGGGAAGGTAAATGCAAATACTTATTTTCAAGTTTCCTTCAATTTATAGATTATTTTGACACCCATTTTTAAAATATATGTGGTCTATATAGATGGGATATATAAGGTGTTCTGGGAAAAATGTCAGTTACACTGTTGGAATTTGTTCCTTTTATAAATTAAGGTAAAAGTAGTCAGTGATTGCTTTTGGGATCTATACTTTTCACGTATTGGTCTCAACACTGTGCACTAATCTATTATTGACAAACAAAACAGTTCAGCTTATTTACAATTTTAGGAGCAGTGGGATCATTCAATTTCTGGTACTACCAGTTTTATTTGAGCTGATAATCAGTTCTTGCACTAAGGGATGCATGTTTTCCAGATGTTGGACTGCGTATTAGGCCATAATGATGCATTATTTAGGCGTGCTCAGTTAAAAGCACTTGTCTCCATCCACAGCCAAGAGGTAAAGTAACTCAATATGGACTTCATATGCATTAGACTAATAATGTGGAAAAACATTGTTCTACTACCAGGATATATTGGTCCTTATAACAAAGCCTTTTTTCCCCTTCATATATTTAGGCTGGTAAGGGAGGTGAACTCACTCATGATGAGACAACGATTATTAGTGGAGCACTAGATTTGACTGAAAAGGTATGATTGTGACTAGATATAGCTTCTTGATGGCATTTCCTTCTTGTTGCTTTGTTGCATGCCTCTGTTTAATTCCTGAATTTGTAGATGTTTATTTTATGGGAATAAAATTTCTGATGTGATTTCAACTGGCCAAATGCTGTTCAGGATATGCATAACCTCTAACACCACTTGCATTTATTTCTGTTACTGTGGCTTCTCTATTTTGGAACAGCTGTATCAATTTGCTCATCAGTCATCTTCCTAAAGATAATGTGTTCTTTTCCTGCATCATTTAAATAATTGAACAGACAGCAGAGGAGGCTATGACACCTATTGAATCAACTTTCTCCCTAGATGTCAATTCGAAGTTGGACTGGTAAGCTTTTCTCTCCATTTTATCCTGTTTTATATCCTTCCACTTCTGTTCAATCTATCATTTTCTACTTATAATGCTGTCTGTGCATCTACAATAGCTTCTAAACCATTAATGCATGTTCCCCAGTGCATTAGGGACTAATTTGTCATTACCCTTGCATAGAGTTTTTACTCTTTTTTTTTTTTTTTAAATATCAATTCTTGATTACATTTACCAATGCCAATTGTTAAGTGTTTCTTTACAAACTGGTAACTGGTTTGTATGGTTCTAGTTGAAGTTTTAGAAAGAAAAAAAATAATAATAGTAAATTGTTTTTTCATTATTTATTTATTTTTTCCTTTAATTTGAATAACAGGGAGGCTATGGGTAAGATTCTTGCTCGTGGTCATAGTCGTGTCCCTGTTTATTCTGGAAATCCAAAAAACGTCATTGGACTCTTACTGGTAGGCCCTTTCTCCAGCAACTTTAGACAAAGCTTTGTTCTGTGAATTTGTTCCTGATTTGAACAATTTTGCTTTTGCTTATTTCACTTTTTTCCTTTACTAATCTTTTTTGTAATTAGGTGAAAAGTCTTCTCACTGTACGACCGGAAACTGAGACCCCTGTTAGTGCCGTTTCCATCAGGAGAATCCCTAGGTTTGCTTATTTATTTACCAGATTTTGTTATTATTTCTTTTGAAGAGCAAACATTAAAGTTCAAACATTCCTGTTCGAACCATTTTCTCCAGGGTTCCAGCTGATATGCCATTGTATGATATACTAAATGAATTCCAAAAGGGTAGCAGTCACATGGCAGCTGTTGTGAAAGCTA